GTACATAATTTCGCTCCACCACATGTACCACATGAGGTGCGAATGACAATAAAGAAACTCTGACTCTGACTCTGACAATTTTCTACAGAAGTCCAAGACCTGCTGAGGAGACGACTAAATGTGGGTCTGACGAGGGAAGAGACTGGGCACCAAAGACCAGGACTGAGAACCACCAATGCTTTACTGCTGGTTTTAAGAGTTCTAACAGGTCTGGTCCCAGTCTTCCTGAGACTTCCTGTGCAGGAGTGAGACATACCTTTGGGTCTCTGGAATGTTCTGGGCACAGGACCTGCAGACGCTTACAGTACGTCTTACTCTGAGGGTTGTAGACATCGCAGAACAAACGGGTGGCCCTAAGACAGGTGACAGAGACAGGAGACTCAGTCATGACAGATGAAGACATGCGGGACATAAGATGAGTGTCCTTACCCCTCGATCCGTGTGGGATACATGGACCCAAAGGACGTTTGACTCTCGTACTGTTGGATGGACAGAAACACCACATGAGTCCTCAGAGTCAGCATCCCTGTCTCGTCTACTCCTAGACTAACTACAGATTCTAACTTCTTTACCTTGCCTACATTACCCACAATGCCCCTGGTGCTCTGACCTTAGCGTAGCACCGCTCCATGTGTCGCAGCGCCACCTTGGGGTTGACGGGGTGGCTGCAGGAGACACAGAAGATCTGCAGGTCTGTGTCATCTCCGTCGGCCTCGCTCACCTGCGGACCGACAGACAGGTAGGTCAGAGCAGAACCACCAGACCAGTTGAGGCCGTGTGAGAGTGCCGGACCTCTTCGTGCTGTTGGACCTGCTGCTGTTTGGCGTTGGCGATGATGGCCTCCAGTTCGTGGAAACGTTTTTCCATCAGCGTGAGGCGGAGTCTGGCAGCCTGCTGCTCCTTCCTGATTCGTTCCAGCTGTCTCCGCCCCATCTCCTCTGCAACACAGGGACTCTGCTGCCACTGCTGGATCCTCTGGGGGAGGATCTCATAGATTCGGCTGCAGGACAGAGGTGCATGGTGAGTTTGAGGCGTCGTGCTCGCCTCAAAGCGTCCACGTTCACCTTGGACTCACTTGGCGGCGAGCTTCATGCCGCAGTCCTCGGTGCAGTATTTGGAGTTGGTCCTTGCCGGTTGGATGCAGCCTGGGCCCAGGCACTGCCTTAAAGCCCCGCCCACATCTTTCGCCCCACCCTCTCCTGCACGCTCACTGTGCCGCACGCGCTCACGGTGTCTCTGCTTGACTTTGTGACGTCGGGGCTTCATCTCCTCTTTTGGAGCAGAAACAGACTTCTGCAGGAGCAGGGGTGTGTTAGTGACATCATCAGTGACGTCAACAGTGATGTCAGTCATGTGATCAACATGGCTTCACCTTCTTTTCTGGTTTCTTGTCTCGTCTTTTCACGTGCTTCACCTTCACGGCCTTCTTCCTCAGTGAGTCTGACAGAGCGTCCTCCTCCTCCTCGCTGTGCCACACCTGCAACAGAAAGACGCATCACAGAAATGGAAGTGGCTCCTTGACGTCTGATTGGTGGAGGGTGTTACTCACCAGGTCTCTGAACCCGGCAGCTTTGTACTGCTCGTACAGCTCCAGCTCACTCTCACTGAACCCCTCTTCCTCCTCCTCCTCATCTGTCAGATGCCCCGCCCCTCTATACAACAGGCCACGCCCCCTGCTGCTGCTCTGGCCCATCTCCTCATCTCTGACCCGCAGCATCTTCTGGTCAGAGACAATCGACGACAGCGTTGTTACATTTTGTTTAGCCCTGCCCCCTTCACCATAACGACCACTAACACGGTGCGCTGTGATTGGTCGTTTGACGAGAACGTGCAGAAAAACTCTTTTTAACAATTTAACTGATGTTTCTGGAAAAATACAAGAAAACATTTTGAAACAATTCGGACAGAACCTCAGGAAGACTGTTTTCTGGGCCGGGCCGACCAGGTCCAGGTCCTGAAGGTTCTCAAAACCTGAAAGGCCTTGTGCAATCTCTGTGAGCTGTCAATCAACAGCAAAGGATGCTGGCTAAGTGTTTCCATGGAAACCAGAGCGGAGAGTTGCCATGACAACCGTGCTGACATACCCGGGCTCGGACCTCACACTGCCGGAGGCGACACTTCTGACGGATCTTGTTTGGACCTCCAAACTTCTTCATATCTTTACAGAAGTCACACAGAGCGCAGTCCTCCGTCCTCAGACAGGCGTCACACTCACCGCACATCCGGGCTGAGCGCTTGATCTGCACACATACA